CTTTTGAAGAAAAAAATGAGGGGGGGGGGGGGTTGTTCAATTCTTCCTTTTTTCTTTGGAAAAATAGGGCAATGAAGCTCAATGCAAAAAGATTACAATTGTGCCACTGTCATCTTGTAGAGTTTAGCATTTTATAATTTAGTTTTCATTAACATTTCAATGAATTACACACTTTATAAAACCTGTAAAATATGGAAAAGAGAGCATGAGCTATGCGAGGAATTGAGGATCTCCAGTAACACAGCATATGCTAACTTCTGTCTGCAATTCAGGTACTTACTGCAGTATGAGGCAGGAGGCCATCAAGACTCAATAAAATACAGGTGTGATTAAGCCACATTTTAAATATTACCAAAGAGTGTAAATAAGGAAAAAAAAAAAAAAGGCAGGGAGGCAGAGGAGACAAGCAAATTCCAGTCTCAATCCCTCCTTAAAGCCTTATATAAATATTATATAGGACTTAATTTTTTTCTGTGTTGTTTTTGTTGATGTACTCAGTTTTTCCCAAGACTGGAGAACATATTGAATCTATTCACTTTATAGTAAATTTTTTTACAACAAATCTAGCATTTTGTAGTTTATTTTCCCAAGCCATTATTACAGAAAGATCTGTGTAGATTTGGGGCTTTATGTTGGTTTTTTGTTTTTTTTTTTTTCCTTTGGGTTTTTTTGCTGATTGTTAATGAGCAGCAACTGCTTTTAACCAGGTCTGTTCTGTAGCCCTGATGTGCTACAGAAAGTCACTATCTGTATTATTGACATATGTCTTATAGCTTGTGGCATATATGAAATTTCCTATATGCATTCATAAACCACAGGGGACTTCAGTGTGGAACAACTGGACTTGTATGGAATTACCAACATGGATATTTTATGTCTGGAATGTAGATATACTTGAATTGCAACATGACTTCCATTTGCTTTAAATTACTCTGAATCTGATCTTCTGATATATTTTCTCTCCACTTATTCATTCAAAAATGTTAGGACCAGTTATTTAATTATATCAGTGTAGGTTCAAACCCTTATCAGCCACTGACTAAAAACCTACTTAAAGATAACAGTGTGCTTTCTAACAGAGATCACCAGGAAATTAGATCACATTGATTTGGGAAATCAGTTAGCAAGGAGAGAAATTCACTGCTGGCAGTTTCAGTCCTACTGCCTCCTCTACTGTAGGAGTTTGTTTCCTTGGAAATACCAGCCTCTGAATTTTCCTTGACATAGGCCTTGCTGTTTCCCAATTTTCTCCTCTATCACACAAGCTAATCCATCTCTCTGGTGTTTTTCCCTGTGCCAGACATTCCCTAGAGCTTGGCTAAAAAATATTGGAGTTTCTCTGTTTTTTAAGTTTGAAGTACTACTGATTTCTCCAGGAAGTTTCAGCTGTAAATTGATCAAATGGAGACAGATAATAGTGACCATAGTTCTCATCTAAATAAAATTCCTTAAATAACCCTTACCACTGACTGTTCCATGTAATGAGACAACCTTCACTACTTCAATTTTTCTGGCAAAGAAAGGAAATTTCAATTTATTAAGCCTTTAGCTAGAAAAGAGTTAGACTAAGCTTGTCCATTGTATCTCGCTTCTCCTAGGATGAGGGGTCTCAGCATGGACAAACTTTGCTGGTAATTACAGCAGATTCAGCATAATTCAGATGCTTTAGCATCTCATTGCACTGCAAGCTTTGTGCGTTGCATTATTAGTTTTCAATGCATCTGTAGATAGACAAGGTGGATCTCCTCTTAGCGGTGAGAACTGCCTCATTAATTTCAATATTTCAGCCCAACCCTTATTCTGAACTCTGTACAAGCCCTGTACAGATTTCCAAGTTGTTGCACTATTTAACAAGGAAAACAATCAAACCTGACACTGCAAATGTATAAATGGATCTGGATTTTCCAGCAAGTAACACCATTTTTCATTTATATTCTTCTCTTTATTTCTATTATAAACTCTTGTCTAGGGCTTCAGTCATAATCTGTTTTGCTTGGTGTGCTCAGAGGGACCATAAGGACAGAACTTTTTCTACTGCTGTGGATCTGGTTAAAACCCAAGCCAAATTAAACAAATACAGAAGAGCAGGCTGCCACATAATTAGAAGCTGCTAGGGATTGCTAGGCTTGAAGCCAAGACTGAGTGCTAAAACCACCTCAGGAGCACTAAGATATTGCAGTGGCTCTGGATTATTTTAGAGGTGAGATTTTCTAATTATTTCAGCTGTGGATCAAGACCCCGACTCCACTGAGCACTGTATACTGTATGCCACTTACATTTGATTTCAGCGCCACCTTCTTGCCTGCCCTCACTCAGGCTAAGTTGCATTGCTGAATGTTTACATATCGATACAAATCTTTTAAAGGCGAGTACATGTCAGTGGATGACACTGGTTGTGGTATAGTTACATTTCAGCCCTTTAAATTCAATCAGTGTCTTCTGAGTAACTGCTACATTTAATTTAACGGCTCCTTTGTCATTGCAGATAATGATAGGAGAAGGAATTCTCTACTGTTGCCTGTCCAAAAGAAGAAATGGGATTGGAACAGAGGCCAATATTAATGCAGGAGGATGCAACTTCAATTCTTTTCTTAGAAGAGCTGTCAGATTTGTTGGTGGGTTTCAAATGTTAGTCACAAAGAAGAGCTTTCCATATACATTCAATTTTCACCATGCAGGTTTCCTTCTCTGAAACAACCTTTCAGAGCAGTGCAGGGCTGTCACCGGCATAGGTCTTCTGCCAGAAAACGTGAGAAGAAACTGTCAGATGGAGCGACAGAGCAGCCCCGTACTCAGTAATGCAGCATCTACACTCTCCGTTTTCCCTTTCCTCTCCTGTACTATTGTCAGTGTTTCTAAGAGAATAATTTGGTTTTCCTTCTCTGCCCACCTTGAGCTGGCTTCCTTTTAATGGGTTCAGCGTATAGTTTCCCCTCCCTGTCTTCAATGCATCATAAGGATTCAACCCACCTGACACAGTATTCAGCATGACAGTAAAAACTTGTCAGAAACTGTCACTAGATTTGACGTTCTTTTTCTGGGAGATGTTTATCTACGTCTTGGAAAAGGGCTAGAATCTGGCAACCTAACGATAGAGAGGAACATGTTGGATTGTTTTATTTTACTTTGTTTTAATTGTCATTTATGAAAACTGAACTGGAAAAGGCAACTGGACTTTGTTCCCCTTCTTACAGTTAACGTCCTCTACCAAAGAGTGGCTAAAGGAAAGGTTTTCCCTGTTCCAGAAATCTTCCATTAGGGAGGGCAGCCTAGGCAAAGACAACCTGCAGGACAGCAGACTGAAAACCTGGTGACTATACACTACATTTCTGTAGTCTGGCAAGCAGGGAGGTAATAAAAGGAGAGGTTACACAGTCTATGACCGGTAAAGCGTCCTCTTTAGAGCAGCAGTGAGGACGTGAGTAGAGGGGATGGTAGATTACAAGATCAGCAAGGAGGACTGTGAAGATACCCCATGCTCTCCACTTCTCCTCCTGTATGGCATCCCATTGCATCACCAAAAAAGAGAAGCTCAAAGATGCATGAATTTAATTCTTGATTCATACTCTGAATTTGCAGTTTCTTTCATATTTTAATGACTTTAGCATTCTTTTAATTTTAAGATGAAAAATAAATTTATTTATATGAATACAAGTAGAGAATTAGAGATAAATCTTTAGGGGAGAAGCAGTTGAAAATGCTCAGTAAAACAAGTGCATTTACTTCAACTGCCTTGTGAATTTGGCATTATTAACCAGACAGAAACACTGATCAATTACCAAAAAGACTTAAATGTTTGGACTTGTGGCAAGGACTTGGTACTCAAGAAATATCAGCGGTGCGAAGGTAGCCAATGTTATTGCCAGCTGATGAGTCCCTGGTGGTGAAAAGAGAACAGGTCCTCAGAGCAGTGATCTAATGGGCAGCTCTCCACCTTATTAAAAGCCCATATCCCAGTGGGCAAGTCCAAGGACTGGATGAGCACATATGCTCTCCTCAAATAGTTGGCTATCCTTTAGTCAGTTCAGAAAACTGCTTTCCAAATTGAAGCACTTTTATGAAAAGATGGTGGAGGACATCAAGCCATCAAAATGAAATGTTAAGTATCAACAGGAAGAAAACAAGCATAAGTAATCTTAATTTTTTACATTAAAGAATTCAACTTTGCAATAAGCCTTCATAAAAAAATACAGCTTATTCTTCAGTTAAATTCTCTCAAGTCCAATAACACAAGCCACCAGAATTCCGTTGAATGTATTTTATCACAATGAATTAATCTAATTTATGCATATAATGAAGTTAACAAGCTCTGTTGATTTCTTTCCCAGGTGTTCATGTGTTTGGTCTTTGTTCTACTGCTCTTGTTACTGATATTATACAGCTATCAACAGGATATCAGGCACCGTATTTCCTGACTGTTTGCAAGCCTAACTATACATCCTTAAATGTATCCTGCTCAGAGAATTCATATGTTGTGGAAGATATTTGCTCAGGAGCTGATCTCAGCATTATCAATGCTGGAAGGTTGGTTCTATCCTTCATTGTGTACATGTACATTTTTAAGTATTCATTTTATTTTCTGTCCCAGTTTCAAGATTTTTCTTCTAGTTTTTCAGGTTTTTATAACAAAGGTGAGAGTGTGTCTTTTTAGTGATGTTCAATTTTCTCTATAAAGATATTAGGCCAACAGTGGGCTTTGGAGGACTTTGTCAGATTCCGAAGCACAGTTGTTAGTAGCTAGCTATTTTCCCTCCTTCAAAGGAGACAATTTCCCATACAGTTATTAATACATACAGCTTCTACTGCTTTTCCCTGTGGGAACTTACCAATAACAGGCAGGGGAAGAGGTCACCCAAGTACTGTGTCTGAGACCTCTGTATAACATACATTACTGTTCTGGCATTTTGGTCTTAGTTTGTGAGGCTTCGTTTTGGGATTTGTTGGAGGAGTTTGTTTGTTTTCTGTTTCTCTAGTTGATTAAGTTTTTTATACTGACAGCATTGAAAAAATCCCTTTATTAGAGGAAAGACCACAAGAAGGTAAATCTGTGTGGTCCCAAACACATGCCTTTTCTTTCATGGTATTTCTAACTGGTGGTTTATTCTGCTTGAGCATTTGGTCTTTAGCCTCCCTACTTAGATAGCCAGGAGATAAATCACTATTGTTTATAATAGCAGGTTTTGCACATGCATATCAGTCAAGTTGAGATATAAACCAGACTATATATCTTATATATCTTACAAGCTTGATGTGATAAAATAGTGATAATTTAATTACTGATGACAGGTCATTGATTTAAACAAGGAATCTGAACGTAGAAGTCAGTAAGTTGTACTGTTCCAATACATCTGCTACTCGTTAGTTCAAGGACTTCATTGCTATGAAGTGTCGTAAATATAAGCACTACACTACTGAGAAATCATGAAGCTCTTCACTGAATACAATAGTAGTCTTCTGTATCTTTTCCACAGTAGGTTAACCTTTATTGCGTGTTAGTCATTGAATGTTTGAATGTTTTGCAGTCCTTCAAAATTTCGGTGCTTTTTTAAATCTCCTGCTATCCAAAAAAGTTACAGCAAAATTATAGAATGCTTGAAATGACTACAATTTCTGTCTCTGACTCAGCTGCATAATTTCTCTGTGTACCTGATTAGTAGACATGAAGCTGTGTTACTTCTGTCACATCCACTTCACCAAAGCTTTGCACTCCTTTCTTGGTCTGTATGCAGCCCCAGATGCTAGCTTCTATTTTAACTTTATGCCTCATGGCATTACATTTTTGTCACATGGATATTATTAAAATGTTCTGTCTGTATATTAAGGCACCTCTCCCCCAGTTCGTGTGCTTTTCCATTTATTTCAATGGTTGACACACTTGGGAATCATGAAATCATTCACTTTGTAAGTATCTTCCAGCAAATCTCATAATCTGTCTCCTTTCACTGGGACAAACCAATTTCACTGATGTTTAAAGACCCTCAATTATTTGATGTATGTGGTCTTAAATATGTCTAGTGGGCTAAGACTCCTAATTAACATTGATCAATTTGCCATATCTTTTCAATTTATATATGTGGGTGTGATCTGGAGCTGGAATGAAGGATTGTAGTTCTATTTGGCCCAAATAATTTGGTGACAATGATTTTGGTGAAAGGCATAACCAGAATTACTATACCAGCCTTCACCTCACTCTCTCTTTTCCCATAACCATTTGCTGTTAATGGGATACTGCCATTGAAGCCTGATGCTTGCAAGCGGTGTCTTGCACCTACATGGTGTCCCAGGGAAATCGGTGTAGCTTTACACGTGAGCAGGCAGAAAAATTTTCATGATTACATCTCATTCGTTTCATTATCATCTCAAATATGGTACCTACTGCTCTGAATTGACTGCCTGTAGCCATTCCGAAACCACTGATCACTCCTAAGTTTAAATGTCATCACTTCCAAAAAATAGCAAAATTAGTTGTAACATATTAAGACTAAGCAATCAGGTTTTGTGTCTTTCTGTTTCTTTAGGAAGATGACCATATATTGATATCTCAAATTTATTCCCATCATAGAGGATACATTTGGTGATCTATAATATTCTGGCACCACCCTCCGTTTCTTCTTAATTCAATTTTATTGCATTTTTCCTTTATTAAATTGTTGCTTCCTTATGCCTGTTTCAACTTTACCAAAGCAATCAGCACTTGCTACTGGTTCAGTAATCTACTATAGGAGTTATGGTATGACTTCTCCAGCCCAGGAAGTTAATTTGACTTCAATAATTTCAGCTTGTAAGGGACCTGTTCTTCTGAGATTGCTAATGCCCTTCATTTGTTATTTGTACTTCCCAGAAACTTTGGTTCCAGAAATTTGCCTCTAGACTCCCCTGTGAAAAGTATAGAGAAGAACACATAATTATCCAGCTGATTATATGAAATAATTTTCTGCAACATCCCCAAATATCCAGTGGTTTCCTTTGTCCATCTTTTCCTCAATTTATCTTCAAAGAGCCTTTTCAGTCATTTCTATTCAGCTCTCCAGTGAGTTCTCTATCCTCTATCATTTCTGATGTTCTGACTCAGTATGACGCGCTCTGTCTCAGTACGACTCTTTCTCATCGTTGTTCCCCCTCTCCATGTCCTCATGCATGAGCATTTAGAGTGATACACTGTCATCTGAGTTCAAGACATGTTTTCTTTGAGACCGTTTTTCACCTTTTCAATACCGAGCCATACAAAAAGGCTACATATTTTTAGCTTGAATTATTTTCATTTTAAATTAAAAGATAACAAATAGAGGAACAAAAGCAGTGTCACCATTAGAGAGTACACAGAGTGCATTTAGTCTGTAACATGCTGTGCTTGCCCTGAAAGCATATGAATAGAAAACAGAATAAAGAGAAAATTGACTGCAGCATAGCGACACACCTTATATACTATAAAAATGCCATCAAATTAAGGTTAAGTTCTGAGTGGTATTAAAGTTCATAGAATCGAATCTACGCATTAGCTCCACAGAGACTGTAAGTAGATTTACGCTTCCACTAAAACCTGCAGCGGGTAAAGGAGTTGACTAGCCTTTATAAACATTTGAATTTTTTTCATGTCTTTATCCTCCTGTCCTCAACCCTGAACTTGTTCCCCAGGGATACTATTTGTGAAAGGTTTGTTCAGGGAGAGGAAAAAAGGAAAAAAAGAAGAATAATTTAGGTCTGTCTTTAGAAACGAAAAAGGAATCTTGCTGATTTCATCTTGGCCAGAGTCATGAACACGCTGGAGCCATGGGCTCAAATTCAGGTCAGCGGTGTGGCATTCACACTGAACTACTTGCGCACATTTAATTGCCAATGAATTATTTAGAACAGACAAGACAAAATGCATAGGAAAGAAATTTAGAAAGTAGACTCTGCTGCTTTGCAGAAAAATGTCTTTGTCTAAAGATAAAGGACTATGTTTCAGTCTTTGCTATTTTAAACTAGCTAACTCAGGTGCTGCTAGGAAAATGGCTATACATGGAGCCCAGTTAGGGTGGCAAGACCAATCTGCAAAGCTGAATGACTGTTCAAGTATTTATCCCAAGCTGAGCTTTCTCACATGAAAGTGGCTGCTGTGCCTGCAAGATAGACATACCCTTCTTCGCCAAGACAGCCAGCACATTACATTACACATCCCTGCCATTTTAAGGAGATAAATGTACAGATATAAACTGCTATACATCTTCACTGCATCTTACTCACTTCTAGAGCTCAGAAGTCATAAAAGTTTTTTAGGGCTTCTACAAGCTATGAACTAGATGTCCGCCATAGAACAGGTGTTACTGAATCTACCCCCAGCTAAGTTTTTCCCTCTACTGTGTAAAAATCTCTCCTTCATGTTCCCATCACTTTTCCTTTGTTGTTTTTAGAGGATTAAAATGGGCCTGTAAGAAGAGTAATGTTAAAATGTTAGAGGGCCTCATGTGATGGTTCTGTGTTACTGCTACTTACAGGAAACCTCCTTTTCTTTGTCAGAGAAGTAGTAGCTAAGCTGTCACTTTTTATTTTCATATCTGTAGTTTCTGACTCAAGACCCTGTCCACATCATTCAAGTTCCCAGGTTTTCAATGGGAGCAGAAGGCCCTTAGCAATTTCAAGAACAGACATGGTACTGCCTACTGTCTCACACAGTTTGGACATATTTTCATTTACCCTCTTGTTCTGGGCTTCAGGAAGGGGCCCGGTAACTTTTAAAATGCCTTTTCTGTGTTCTTGTACTCCATTCACTTCTATTGTGTTGTAAAGTGCTGAAATTTAAAAAATAAATCTGAAGACATAGCAAATAAAGATGTAATTTGCCTCTCTCTGAGAAGAATGCCACCCTGTCATCCCTCCATTATTAGAGCAACAAAGCAGGGGCATGAAGATGATTAATTCAGTTGCTGAAGTTAGGGCCTGATTGACAAAGTGTATGAGTCCTTACTTTGAAGAGAGTCCAAGTGAAGTCAGTGAGAATAATCATAAGATCAATGTTCATGCATTAAATAAGTTGTATAATTAGGTACTTACTCAAAAGTTATTATGGGAATTTATTTATAGAAATAAACGTATAGATATTTCTCAATCAAGCATTCAGTCTTTAGCTTGTTCCCACTGTTCTCTTAGTGCACATACTTTTCTTAGTACACAAAAAGAATTTCATGCTAAATATTTACTTCAAAAGAAAGGCATTTCATTAACATTGGTCCTTTCTCCAGATCATAGAAAATAAATTTAGAAATCAAATGTTACTGATCAATCACATATTGCTTAGGAAGTGTAAGCTGAAAATGACTGTACCACCGAGTGTTTTTTTCAAGTGAACACTAGCACAGTGTATTTGAACTGAGAAGCATAATTTGAGTGTCCTTCCTTGGCAGAAAGTCATTCCCTTCTCAACATGCCACCCTGGCAGCCTTTGCAGCAGTGTACATTTCGGTGAGTAACCAACTCTGTTCATTTTCATTTATACAAGACAGAAGCCAGAAAGTAATTTGCTGTATATTGTAAAGTGATGTGTTGCCTAGGTATCCTGGATGGATGTAAGTTTTTATCCTCCCAGTTTGAAAGCAAAATAAAACTACTAACAGCTAAAATGAAACCAGCTCTATTAAGAATACAGAAAAGATTCAACTGCTTCACATCCTTTGTTAAGAAGCAATAAAAACTGTAATGTTAAAGTATATTTGATGCCTCGTATTGTTCACATATAAAATGCAGTGCTTATCTGTCTTATGGGGTGATATTTTAACTTACCATTCAAATTAACCTTTATGTGTTCTGCCTTTTCTTTATTGCTGTCTTCACTTGACTTGCTGCTTTTAAACTTGAGGCATTAAGGAACAAACATTTATGTGGTGTAGTTTCATATGACCTCCATAGAATTGCAGCATGCATGAACTGGCACAGTCATTCCCAGAGGCCTCCAAGGTGCTACTGCAAAGCAAGTGAATAAAAACCATCAGTAACTAGCAGGGAATTGTAGGACATGCTGCAGCGATCACAGCTGACCAATGACATTTCTTCAGTATGGACTACAGTGTTTGTATGAGTGACCATTTACTTGAAGATTAAAAAAAAAAAAGTAATTCCATCACTCATGCTGTAAAAATCAGAGGAAAACAACAATAACAACTAGTCAATCAAATTAGATAATGGAATTGTGCATGTACTGGGACCTTGCCAGTATTTATTCTGCTCAGGGAAAGGCCAAAATCTGGAATACTGATGAACCACCTCCACTTAATTTTTGTGACCTCCCTGACATCATGGCCTCCAGTTGAGAAACAGCTCTCTAAAGCATCTGGTGGTAGCTTTTGTTAGAACAGGTTATTGCTGTCATCTGGCATGACATCTGGCTTCTGTATTTCAGAAGCAGTGGCTCCTTAGTCACAGAACATTGAGGCTCTGACTATGAACAGTATTTAGGCATAAAATCCTTATCCTAATTGATGTCAATAAGCAACACTGCCTATTGTTTTTGGAAATCCATTCCGTATGATTTCAGATCTTCCTACAGTAAGTGAGCAAATTTTAACGGCTGTAAAACAAAATTAAACTGATTATTTGCAATATTACTGTGTTATAGTGATCTATATGAAAGAAACATTGAATGTGAGAAATTAATGTCCTCTTAGGTGAATTTAAGTTTCTTCAACAGCTTCTTCATTTCTTTCTTTTTTCAAGATGTACTTCAATTCTACATTAACAGACTCCTCAAAACTTCTGAAACCACTCTTGGTCTTTGCTTTTATCATCTGTGGAATTATATGTGGTCTGACTCGTATCACCCAGTATAAGAATCATCCAGTTGATGTCTACTGTGGCTTTCTCATAGGAGGAGGAATTGCTCTTTATTTGGTAAATATAATATTCATGTAGTTAATTGTTAGCAAATAAAGATGATAAGGCTGTAATAAGAGTACTGGTATTTTTTATTAAAACCTTTCATCATGGTCACATGCCATAATTAGAAACATAGTCAAAATGTGTTGAAGATGATGATGTTGGGGTAATCACTTTAAAAATAAATAGGAGAAAGCAAATATGTATTACAATTTAAAGTGCCATGAGAGTGCACAAAGTGGTATATAATCATCTGGCATTGTATACAGAAACAGCTCTAACATTATGTGCTTCATTAAATACTTAAAGATACTCATCTTTTCTACTCCACGCTTACAAGCATAACGCAAGAAAAATATTGGATTAATTGGTATTTGTTGCCAGCCTGAGTTTATATTGCCAACGTTAGCTTTATGATCTCAAAAAAATGGTTGAATTAATATGCAGCAACTCAGCTGAGTAAACTGTTGAACCTGCAAGAAATCAAAGGCAATATTACACCCTTGTGATTCTTGGGAGCTCTTGGGGAAATTATGCAGGGGAAATAGGATCCCCAAGCCAGGTTATTCCTATGCTTTTCCTCTGTACTGGGTTGAAACTGATGAAGGACCTTGGAAGGGTCCTGTAAGGGAGTACGTAGGATAGGCCTGTCTGTCAGTAGGAAGCTCATCAAGCATTTGCTTTTGCTTGCTGCTCTCAGTATGTCTCCAACATGACTGTTGCTGCCCTAGCTGTTCAGCACAGTTGTCAACCCAGGTGCCTGTAAGCAATCAGGAACTTACTGACAACATTTTTGCTCCAGTGTGGGCAGGTGAACAGAAGAGTCTTAACAGCCAGTGGGATGTTTTTGACCCCCAAGAAGTCATCAATGAATTTTAGTATAATACTAAAACAAGTTCATATCCTTTTTTCTGTGATAAGATAATCTAAGGTACATGCAGATGGTCTACAAAGGTGACTGGGGGGAAAATGGCTTTCACAGTGGCAGAAGAAAGAGCAGCCAGGGTAGATAACAGAAACCCCATGAGCTACTAAAGTCAGTTTCTATGATTGCACTGTGAGCAGAAAGGCACTCTGTTGAGAATATTATTTCAAATGATTAAGCTGTTGTAGACTCTCATAAATGGAGCCATTGTTCCCATGTTTAAAATCCACAAACAAGAATGCTCTTTGTTAGGTCTTCTCCATATACTGTTGCATGACAACATCCATCAGAGAGTCCATTTTCCTGGATACGAGGGTCCATTTTCCTGGATACCCAGCAGTCAGTAAATCTGCCCTGAAAACTACATACCAATAAGAGGAAGGGGAGGGGTAATAATGCGAAACTACAAATAACTCTGAAAGGAGTGTAAAGAACAAGTAACCTAAGTGGTTGAGATAGGCATTTGACCCTTTCATGGAATATTCTCTCTCAGTGGAGTCTTTTTAAAATGACAGCACTTTACAGTGAGTCTGCTGAATAAGAAGATGTTGTATAACTAAATCTTGTTACAGTTCTGCGCAGCTTGGAAAGCAATTGATTTGAAGTTGATAAATTGTTCTATCATGTAGATATTGTATTACACAGTTATTATGCAGTAGAAAGGGCAGAATCACAGAGCAGAGAACAACTCAAGCTGTAACAAGATTCAGTAAATCAGAGCAGACAGTAGTGTGGCTGTAAAATAGCTTTGCCTAGAAGACTGCAAACATTTATTTTGTTGTTTTTGTAACAAAACATTCTTTCTTCAGCTCTATCTGTTGCTTTATAAAATGAAGAAAACTGAAGGAGGCTAAATCTTTCTCTCAACTATTTATTGCCATGAACTGTGTGCCCTAGTTATCCCACTGCAACTACTTCATACGTATCTAGATGTACCAGATTGAGGACAGAATTTGAAATAAGGGTATACTGGTGAGGAAAGGAAAGTGAGCATACCTTGTCAGTTAAGCTGGACTAATTCTATCACTCAATATTTATTTAAAGGCAGAAGAATATAATTAAAATACCTTAAAATGTCTCTTTTTTCCATAACTGATTGTTGATGCTTCTGTTCAAATATCAGGGCCTGTATGCTGTGGGGAACTTCTTACCAAGTGACGACAACGTGTTTCACCCAAATTTTCACAGAGAACCTCTAAGGTCTTTGACAGACCTCAGTCAAGATGCCAACAGAATCCTGCCAGGTAAAAATGGTAGCAGCAGTGATGGCATTGTCTCTCACCGTACAGAAAGTATCCTGAATAGAAACCACAGAGATTCAGGGTCTCTGACCAATATCAAGAGAGCAAATGCTGATGTAGAAATAATAACACCTCGAAGCCCAATGGGAAAGGAAAACATGGTTACTTTCAGCAACACCTTGCCAAGAGTCAACACACCATCCTTGGAAGATCCAGCAAGACGAAATGCAACAATACACGCATCAATGGATTCTGCCCGTTCCAAACAGCTGCTTTCCCAGTGGAAGAACAAGAACGAAAGTCGAAAGCTGTCACTGCAAGTAATAGAGACTGAATCTGGGCAGTCACCACCAAGGGCTATCGAAATGAGGTCAAGCTCAGAACCCTCCAGAGTGGGTGTAAATGGTGATCATCATGGCCCAACTAGCCAATACCTGAAAATTCAACCTGGCAGTGTACCAGTTTGTAACAATTCAGGTCTTTCTGGTGGGCCAAGGGTCTCTATTCAGTCACGTCCTGGCTCATCCCAGCTAGTGCATATTCCTGAAGAGACTCAGGAGAACGTCAACACATCACCCAAAAGTAGTTCAGCTAGAGCTAAATGGCTGAAAGCTGCTGAGAAGAGTGTTGCATGTAGAAGCAATAGCCAGCCAAGGATCATGCAAGTAATAGCCATGTCTAAGCAGCAAGGAGTGCTTCAGGGCAGTCCAAAGAGTTCAGAGGGAAGCACAGTCACCTGTACAGGAGCCATCAGATATAAAACCTTGACAGACCATGAGCCAAGTAGCATTGTCAGAGTTGAGGCCCATCCAGAAAATAACAGACCTGTAATTCAGATGCCATCAGAAGGTGAAGGAAGTGGGTCATGGAAATGGAAAGGTCCTGAAAAAGTCACCCTTCGTCAGACATATGAGCTAAATGATCTTAACAGAGACTCTGAGAGCTGTGACTCCTTAAAAGACAGTTACGGGTCAGGTGACAGGAAAAGGAGCAACATAGATAACAGTGAGCATCACCATCATGGAATCACTACAATAAGAGTCACACCAGTGGAGGGAAGTGAGATTGGCTCAGAGACTCTGTCCATTTCTTCTAGCCGGGACTCAACACTTCGAAGAAAAGGTAACATCATTTTAATCCCTGAGAGAGGGAGCAGTCCAGAGAACACCAGAAACATCTTCTATAAAGGCACATCCCCTACACGAGCATACAAGGAATGAGAGGAGACATATCAGCTGGTCCATACCACCACAAAGTAAACACATCTTGACACAGGTTCTGCTCTCTTTGTTTTGAGCTGATATTTACCTTTGATGTGCCAAATTATTGACCAGCAGCCCAACTGTTGTTGAACACTGCTGATGTGCAATGTGCATGAGCCTGTGGAAAGCATGTGGTGGGGGGAAAAGCACAATGCCAGAACCTAACTAATGTGAAACATTTTCATGCAACTTGTTTCTTCAGACTCAAAACATTTATCCGAGGGCGATGATGTCAATCAAAACGATGGTCTTGAACACAGACACCTTATTTCCTGAATGTGCCAACTTTTTATTTTATTTATATTTGTGTCCAAAATTGACTGAATTTTTCACAGCAAAGGCTGTATCAATGGTATATATATTCACCTTTGCAGAATTTGCACCAAATCTTTAATACGGGATGGTGCTGATGATAACTTTACATGTTTTGAAAAATTGCATACTTATTAGACTCTACAAACACATGACATATTGATGTGCAGTTACTTTAAAAGTAATAGTGCTAATACTATGATGATGCTGGCTGCATTCATTTAGCGTAGGAAATATTTACAGCTTTGTTATAGTGGATCTGTCACATTCAAAGATTGCAAAGGTTTTGTGTAGTTCTTTAAGATGTCTACTGCAACAAAAAATGTGTGGGTGACATTCCATTAGAATGGAATAACTATCTATTTTGAATAGTTTTGCTGCTACTGCTCAACTTTTGTTTAAGAACAGGTGCTACTAATGAAGAGGCTGCTTCTTAGTGGGCTAACTTGTAGAATTGTTTTAAATTATGTTTTTTAAGGGGTCTTTTAAAGTACCAGAAGTAATTCAGATTTTACATTTTTAAACCTCTTATTCTGTCCTTCAGCAACCCTTCCATTTTTCTATTAGTTTTTAACCATATAATGCAGTACACCAGTAACTGCAAGATGTGCAAATGTGAAAGGTGAGCCATGAGTAAATGAAAATAAACAACCACTTTCCTGGCCAGCTTCCAAGGAGACAGCAATTAATATCATAGCTCACACTTAGAAGCAGTCATTCACCCCACTTCTTAGTATGCCACAAGAACAATCACAAGTTTCACCCCAGTCACCATCATTTAGGGGATTTATGCTTCGCTTTAAAAATGGAATGCCTTGGTATTGCAGAATCACTGAGTGAGTGTTGCATTGTGCCACCACTACTGTTCACCTCCCTTGAGACACCCTCCAGAGCCTTCTTAAGCATTATATTTTTTCCCCACCACTGCCACTTAAGAATATGGAGGGTCTCTGCACCTGAGAGATCACAGATTATTTTAGTAAATTGAGCTTCAAATATAACGAAAGAACTTGCCTGCTAAAAATCTCCATTGCCAAAAATTGTTGAAAGGATAAGCTCTGAAAGGAATAAGCATAGCATGTCCTGGGCATGCTAGAAGAAATGCCTCATTACATTTGGCTCTGACTTAAATAACTTAAACCATGAAGGAAGCCAGGGGCAGTGCTGGCCCAGTGCAGCTCCTCATTCTCTCCTAGATTATTTCCACCTGAAAGAGAGCTACTGTCAGACACCTCCCAGCTCCCCTGCTAGGAGGGGGAGGGAATGGCTTAGCAGTGCTCTCACTGAATAAGCACTAGCAGATCAGGTCTGTTCTCTGGCTTCTTGAGAGGAGTGTTTTGCTCTAAGTCCTCTTCTGATTTAGGCTATCAGAGAACGAGATATATACAACATAGTCAGAACCTGTCTACAGACCCTACCCCACAGAACTCTGAGGAAAAGCCCACCCTACCGCAGCCAAGTAGGAGACAGAAGGAAGAATCATTCCATCCCAAGAAGATAAATAGCACAACACACACACAGACCAAAAAAAAAAAAAGCCACCAACAGAAAAACACAAAAAAACCTCTAAACCAAAACAAAATCCCAAATGCAACCCCAATCCTAAGTAATTTCAGAAGTATGAGGATGATGTTTGCTAATCTGTGTAGAAGAAGGGATTCAGAGTCAATGAAAAGCTTTATATACCTTCCCAGTTATACAGGTGCTCCAGGCTTAGCTGAGTGCTGTCAGCCAACCCTGTCAAGCAATGCTTCCTTCACCTGCCCATCACCCAGTGCTGCGGAAGAGTGTTGGTCCTTAAGGAAATGACCACATTTTTCCTGCTAGTAATAGAAGGCAACCCCATCGCACATTTGATGATTAGGAGGAAGTATTCTGCAGGTTACGTGTAAGAAGCTAACCAGTAGGGTTGCAGCGTATTGTGTGCGTTAAAGGCACAGTATGTTGAAGCCACACTTTAAGGCACATTAGCTGGGAAAAATAATCATAGATGCCGGGGGGGAGGGGGGGAAAAAGAGAGTTATTTTTTAGAAATATGTTCTCAGACTCTAGTATTTACAAGTCAGGATTTGTTTTTTCTTTTAAAAGGATGAATCTTTACTCCTTGGTATTTAATATGAAATTTTGTACAAGGTTCCTAGGAATTACAAACACTTGGATTGTCATGAACAAACCCCTTTGGATTTAGTTTAGTCTAGGTACATGATAAAGCAGGTAGGATTAGCTTTAAAGGAATGGGTAAGACACAATCACTGTTGGCCTATCAATGCAGGGAAATAAGATGCAATCATTTGTTAGTTTGTAAGTGCAGGGGAAAAAGAACATAAGTAGATGAACCTAGAAATGATGGAAAATTGAAATGGAGAATAATGGCAATAAAGCAAAGATTAGAAAATGTTCCCTCTGGCAATTCAGCTGTTTTGGAAACAGCAGGATTCCTGGTGGGAGTGTTTGTTCTTTATTCCTTGGTTTTAGTCAGATATATATTGGCATATATGTTGCTTTTATTACTCTAAAACTTGCTGCACTATTTCAAGTGCAGTGTGATATTTTTCCTAAGGTTTCCTATTTCTTAACAAAAGATTTTAAAGCTCTTGTGTAATCATTGAAATTGTGTTCTTTACATAAATATTGATATATTCTTTTTTACTCAAAGTGCCAAAGGCTACTGTTTTTAATAATGGCTTATCAAATTATATTACATTAGAGAGCAGAAATGTAATAATATATACATTGGAACTCAGACCTCTGCATGTATATTTGATAAGGAGCCTTTTGTAAAATTACTCTTTGTTTACATTCCACTGATACCTTAATTTAAAATTAATCAAATAAATTGACAGGTGACATCTTCTTAGTGTTCTGATTTTCTTACTTGCTAACAGGCACGAATTTCTTTGTTAGGCTGTGCTTTACTGAGAAAAAATACTCAAAAATAAAATATGTTTTTAAATGAGAATTCTCTATATAAAGTATTGTGTTTAATAAAATGTTATGCAATGTTTTCAAATGGAAAAGAATTTGTAAATTGCTATAAATGTATTTTGTTAAATAAGTACAGATCAATGCTACTGTGTGAGTTTATTGTGCTAACATCATGAAAATAAAGATAAAATTCCTCATTGATGTTCAGTCATCTCTGTGGTGAAGCAAAGTCTCATTCCCCCCCCAATTATTTTTCAATATTAGGTATCTCATGACACGCAAAAGTGGTCATCAGTGGGAAACCTCAAAACTTTGCGTTGTTATTGGCAGCAAAGCAAACTGACTCCGAGAAGCTTTCCCATGTGTGCCTGGGCCTTTGTGCAGGCTGCCACTTTGTAGTTGCGTGTCCTTCTAGCAGGTGACCTGCCTCCGCTGGGGTGGTGGAGGGACTGGGCAGCTGAAGAGACTGCTGGCTCCAGCCAGGCACCGCACTGCTGAGTGGTACAACAACGTCATACATGTGCCGTGCTCCCAGCGATGGCATGCTGGGGTTGACTGGTGTCACACTAAGCTGTGGTGCAGATCTGGGTCACTTGGCAATCCCTGTCCCAGGACTTTCATGACAATTTGAGGCGGGGGCCCTCAGGCAAAAGAGAATCTGAAAACAGTATGTTGTCTCTGAGAGAAAGGGAAGCGTATGTACAGTCGTGACGCTGTTCCCTCTGTGGTGACTGAAGGAGCTCTCTGCTTGCGGCTGGGCCTGGAGAATGTCCTTACCCCACTGCATGAGTAGCCTTCAGGAGAGGCCTCTCCTTTTGGCCAACAACAGATGCTGGTGTGGCAGCAGGTTATCTGCCACAGCAGCCGACTGCCTTGAATGAGGCTGCATGAAGCGTGAGGGCTGGGGACCAAGGTTATGGTGTCCCACCCTCTAGGACACGTATTGGTAGCCTGGGAAAGCTACAGGCAGCGATGGCCCTGGTATGCCTCAGAGAGACCCTGGGAAGGAGTGCAAGAGAGTAAAACAGATCCTGCTAGGGTATGACTATGAAAGCTGGCATCTAATACAAATCTGATGAGTTCTCCTCTGGGAATGGCCCCTTCCGTGGACTACTAAGGGGCCTGGACAATTAGCTCAAACATTTTAAAAGGCACATTTTAAACATCTAAAGTTAGGCTAAAAATGAAGTCCCCCTCTGAAGGGTACCTTTGATGTAGAGGTTATATTATAAAACTTGATCTAAGATGAGAAATTACTGACAAACCTTGTCTTACTCTCTTAGACCATTCTTGCTACAGCAATACTGTCACTAAATTAAGAGAGCTCACTGTGATCCATATTGATGCCTGTATCTAATCATGCAAAGGAGTTTTCAAAGGTATGAGTGATTAAACTGAAACTCAAATCTATTTTGTGCTGGATTTTAAAAGATCTTCAGAGGTCTTGATATAAGAAGCCACAGAAGACAAGACTGTACCGTAATCGGTTTGGTACAGATTTATGAAGACCTTTTATATGACAGATCAGTGCACAGCTAATTTGGCAGGAACATTTTAAAGGCATTACAACCCTGGTTCATAAAATCTCTTCACAAGCCTTACAGCACAGAATGTATCAAGCACTGGACAAACTAACAAGCGTCTCCATACTGCACGTTCAAAATGAAAGTAAGGGAACTCCAGCTGCGTACATGTGCATACACATGCACACATAACACAAA